TATTAATCAGACGAAGTAAATATTTATTTATTTACCTGTCAGTACTCAAAATTTAATAATTCTGTATGCCCACATTTCAAATACCCTCATTTTTTACTGTCATCCTCGTCCATACTTGGCATTTCATGTATGTCAAAGTCCATCGCATTTCATATATGTGTTTTGGGGTTTTCTGTGGCTCAGTGGTAAGAGCGCCTACCTTTAAATCTAAAGGTCGTGAGTTCGAATCTCATCTGGGTGGAAATTTTCGTTTATTAAAAATTAATAAATGAAAATAATTTCTATCCTTGTGCGATCGGTACTCACCAGAGGGACCGCAGACGTTCGGATACAATTAGCGTCTCTTAGCAAAGACAATGACGTCGACTTTGCTAAGTATCAAGACAATTACTCTACACACACACACACACACACACACACACACACACACACACACACACACACACACACACACACACACACACTACACTAGGTACCTGACTGTACCATGCCAATGATCATAGTTGTCGAGGCATTAACCCAATAAAAAAATATATATTTATAGGAATGTGCATGTATATACACCAATGCAAATAGTACAGTTATTAATACAAGGAATATGAATAATATTATTTCTTAGTAACATGTTGGGTATGCCTCCATATTTTTTTTCTTTATTTTAAAACAAAATGTATTTTATTGCTACTATCTATACATATCGCTGCTTTTCATGAATAATCACACATTTAAAAAAACGTAATTTTTCAGGAGAGGCCGTCAAAAATTAAACAACATTATTTATTCTCATACCTTTTTATTAAATTGAGATCCTTTCACATTAAATATAAACATTAGTAGGGCGTTAATCATTATTTCCTTGTGATATAAACTTTTTGTTACTTGGCCATGACAAGAACTTCAAAATAATGAAAAACATTCAGTACTTCGACTTATGACAAAGTAAGTACAACAAAATTATTTTGAATAACATCACAAAGCATAATGCGTTACTCGAGCTATTTTCAGGTTGTCTTGAAAAATGACACAAGTGGTAATAATACTTTAAGTGATATTAAGAATTTTCTAAAATAGTGACACAATTGCAGTAGAGACAATATTGATGAAAAATATTTTGTTATTACTATACATTTTCTGGTTTTATGTTAAGATTAGTACAGTGAATTTATCTAATGATTTTGTGTTGAGTTCCATTAACACACTATGTTAATCAATAATTCAAAGAAATAATAGTCTAATCTTTGGATAAATATTGCACTAATAATAAACAAGAGACAAAAACGTAACCTAAAGATACACAATTATTTTTTTCATTAAGTAACAACCTGTCAAAACAATAATTATATCAGGCGCCTAGAAAATCAACAAACTTTTCTGTAAGGTAAAAAAAATTCTAAAAACTTAAATTTTGATACATTCTTCTAAAAAAATTACTAAACTTAGGTAATCACTATAGTTATAAATCAACGTTAAAAACAAAATTAGTCTAAAAAATTTAAAGTAGAATGGCTATTTTTTATTAGGTAGGTATTAAATAATTCATGGGGAGCTCATTACCAGATTTCCTTAAGTACCCACAAAAATGAAATTTTTAGAGATTTTCAAAAAATTGTTTATAAAACCGTGGAACTATGTTCTTTGTAATTAAATCAAGCAATCCCTTTTTTTTCTTTTCACATACTGGTATCTTTTCTCTGTATGCTTGTTTCAAAACAACATTATTATTTGTAGTCTTTCTTGTTTTCCCAATGTTGTCTATTTTAACTATTTTAAATTCCGTGTCTTCGTATGATGTCTTATATAAGTAACAATAATTACTGTCCGAGTCATTCTTTTCCACTTTCAAAATTTTTATGTCTCCCATCTTTACTGTTTCTTTTTCTATGTTCTTGGAAAAATTTTTGCCTATGGAATTTGCCAGCTCTTTTATGTCATAAAAATTATCGTGTATCAACTCATTTACTTCATAGGCTTTGCCAGTTTTCTTTGAGTTTCTAATTATGTGCGCATATTGGTCAGGTGAATATATAGGTCCTGACTTTAGAGCTTTTTTTATTCCTCTTTCGATGAGGGAGTGAACATTGTCTCCCTCATTTTGAGTATGTCCCTTAATTAGGTATTTATGAGTGATGGAGTTGATAAAATCGAGATGGTAAACTGCATACACATAAAGCGCTATAATAAACTGATTTTTCTGCTGCCCGCAGCAGTTATCAGAGTAAAAAATCAAGTCTAATTTTGAAGCGAGTTCCTCCGAATGGTTTTTTAGGCTGATCATAAATTTGAGCAGACAAGTTCCAATTTCTATAGCTCCTCGTTTGCCTTCACCCTCATGCCAGACAAAACAAGCAGTGTCTTTAGACTTTAAGTTATATATCGTGAAGTTATACACATTCAATTTTGATACGTAGTAAAAGTTTGACGCATTGCCTCTAGGACAAGGCATTGCAGCTTGAAGATCATACACGGCTACAATACAATTATCGGGAGTATACTGTTTGTCGTCTTCTTTATTTTGTCTTGCTAGATTCTTTTCTTTTAAGTGCGTATCATACTTTTTCCTCAACTCTTCCTTATCTTTTTCTACGGCATTACTAAAAGATGTGCAATCCTCACACTGATCCTTTTTCGGTTGGAAAAAGGCAATGTTAAATTCGCTGTTAAAAATTTTATAATACATTAAGTAATTACCGCTTGGTAGATCTTTTGAATCGCAATCGAGTTCATAATCTCTATGCAACTCTGCTATAGTTTTACCTCCATCAATATAAAGCCTCTTTGTGTCGGACCGACAGTAGTGGCTTTCAATTTTAGGTATGGAGTCTATGTGGCGTCTAATACCCTCTTTTATAGCAGGATCAATAGTAAAATGTTGGCTATGTTTGCCTCGATTGTCCAGATCTAGTGTTCCACATGCGTTATTCTTCTTCTTAAGTACGGTGCGGACTGTAGTATCAGTAATATCTAACGTGGCTTTAAAAAATATTTTACATACTCTAATTCGTTCATTATTAACAGTAAAATAAAAAGCATTATTTTTTCCACGATTACTATTATGCATTTTGTACGAATATCTTGGTTCAACCACTGAAAGATGGCGTAGAACAAATTCACGTTGTCTCTGCAAGTCTCCCATGGTCCAATAGTTATCAAAAATTTGCTGGCGTTGTGTTTCTGTAATCTTTTGTACACAATTTTGTTTGCATTTTTCAGAACATGGTGCTTTTAATGACTTTGCAGGAACTATGGTCATTTCTTTTTTTGAATTAGACAAGTAAGACTTACCAGAATTTCTCAAAATTTTCGCTTTGGCGCGTAACCAGTTATTGGGTGTAGCTTTTTGTTTCCGTCCTTTTCTCGAATTAACATTTTCTTTACCTTCAATACATGGAGAAGCTATATCTGCAGAAATTGTAGACCGTGAAGCTACGGGATCAGAAGGGTTACTAAAATTGTTATTTGTAAACTTTCCAGCTACTGACTCAGCAACACAATCGCGTGGAGTTTCATCTTCGTTGGTGCTAGATGACGAAAAACACCTCAGGATATTTTCTATTTTAGATGGTGCAACTGCTTTTGAACAAGCTTGATCTGCTTCAGAATCTGAACTGGACGAACTGCTTGAACTACTGGAGCAGCTGTTCGAACCACTTGAGCTGCTTGAACTGCTCGATCTAGATGAACTGCTACGAGATTTTGATTGTCTAGGGATAGCTTCGAGTGAATTTGGTTGGCTGGAGACATTTTGCTTTAAGTGTAATTCTTCATTATTAAAGTCTTGGTTATTGTCTTCGGAATCCAACTGTTTTGGAGATTGTCGCTCAGAATCAGGAATTGGTTCATTTATCAAATAATCCGTCGTGATCTCCTCTGATGGTATCAATGATTTTTTACGTTTGAATTTATTCTTACGACTTCTACGGTTATTTGCATCACCATTCGAATACTCGTAATCTGGGTCTTTGACACTATCATCGGAACAAAAATCCTCAAAACTGTCTATGTTGTTTGTAGATATTATGGGGGATAAGGTAGGGTGTTTTCTTTTGGTAACTTGCTGGTCAGTTGATGATACAGTCGGTTTACTATTTTCATTTTTGTTAATATTCAGTTTAATGTTCATGTTTTGGAACATTTCAATAGTACGGCGATTTGACACTGCAAGAAAAAGTTTTCAATAAAAATAGTGAAATAGCGAAATAACTTTTTTATTTTAAGGATGCTCAACTTATTATTATGATCAATCAGTATCAAAATCTCAAAAAACGATGAACATAATCAAGACAAGGTGATAGTTTTATTTATTGCACAATCGGTGTAGTCAAACCAATAATAATTAATAAAGACTATTTTTTATTTTACAAAATAAACGCAACGAATTTTAGTATAATGATTTTTAAAACCTTTACAAAACTCAGAATTCAGAATCAATTATTGTGAATATTGTTGTATTATGTTTAAGGTCATGAGTTTTGGATGCGAATTTTTAACGAATAGCATCTCATTTCATTATAATAGGTGAATATTTTATTATTGTTTTCGTGAATAAACAAGTAAGTCCGAATAAGTGAAGTCATTTTACTTACTTTTTGACGAAGAACAGAATATCACTAGATGATGCACTTTTCTTTAAAAAAATTATTAAAACTAGATTAAGTTTTTTCGTGAACAAACACACAAAACGAAAAGATATACTATTGCAGAAAGTATTCATTAATTTTAAATTGATTATTTCAAGATGTGTTGTTATTCTGCAAACAAACAATGTTATTACCTGTAAGGACTTGTAGCAACTGGTAGTCGTCGATTGTTCATGAAAGATGGTGCCGAAAATCAACCAATCACATAATGACATTTTGTGGCGCCACGTTGCCAGTTTTCGAGATACGAATGTGAGATTTATTTACAAGATAGTAGGGACCGTTTTGGATATCGCTGTGTGCTTAACTAGAAAATGAACTATTTTGGATTGTGTGGTTATTCGTGAAAAGCAGCGATATATACGCATAATACATAACGGGTACGATTTTAATTAGTAAATATAAATAACAGATATAACACATTACAAAAAAACTTTAATTATTTTATTTAAGTTCTGAAACTTCCTTTTGACATTTTAATAGTTCTACCGTCTTTTCCCAAACACCATCTACCAGTGCAGGATTATTTGCAACAGGATATCTCTCAACCCTCTTACATTCTTCAAAATGGCAGCCGGAATATTTTTCCAAACCTTGTTCTAAAGCAGTATAAAGACTAGTTTGAGCTCCTTGTTCCGCTGTCTAAATAAAAAAATATATACATTAACCATTTTGTCAGAACGTGTCATTTTTTTTCTTTTTCTTATATATATATATATATATATATATATATATATATATATATATATATATATATATATATATATATATATATACACAAGGTGGTCCAGAATTATGTACATTAATTTCTAGAGCTCATAGTACGTCCAAAAATAAGGGTACTTCTTGATGTACACTTTTTTATAAAACTGAATAATAAGGGAGATACAACCCTTTAAAGGGGTGAATTGAAATTCTTATTTTTTCAAATATCTTCCAAACGGTTTTGAACACGGAGTTCATATTTTGGGAGTGATTATAAGACATTAGGATAATAAATTTCATGTCACCACCTACCACATTCTATATTAATACAGGGTAGTTTTGGAGGGTAAGTGGGGGTTATTGCGTCACATGTTTTTTAATTTTTACATATTTTAAAAAAATATTTTAAAAATTGTTTCCTTAGACTTTTCTACCCAAAAAAGGTGCTCTTGTAATATTTCGATAGATATCACCGTTTTCGATTTATTTAAACTCGAAGGTATACATGTATTTTATTGTAATCGTTACATTTCTTAATATTCATCAAGTATGCTTTGGAATTGACACTTGTGTTAGCAACAACACTTTAATCTCAAGTAGTCTATGAATTGTCAGTGACGTTTAATAACAATTAAATTATTTTATCTACACTTTTATTGTACTCGACAGTGAAATTTGTTTAACACGTCTCTTTTGCTATATTTTTAAATTTGTTTGCCCGCAATATGGCACACTATTCAAATTCTGAGATGACAGACATACTTTTAGTATTAGGTGAATGTTCGGGAAATGCTGCTGCAGCTGTAAGACGCTACAGAGAAAAGTATCCGAACAGAAATATTCCCAATGCCAGGACTTTTGTAAGTACTGAACGACGACTGAGAGAAACCGGTTGTCTTCAAAGAAAGAATACAGATGCTGGTCGTCGTAGAGAAGCAAGAAATGTTCGCGTTGAACAGCAAATATTGGATGCTGTAATAAATGACCCCACAATAAGTACACGCAGGTTAGGATTACGAACGAATATTTCCCATCAAAGTGTTTTAAGAGTTCTGCATGAAGAGCAATTACATCCTTACCACTATCGACAGGTGCAGGAATTGTTACCTGACGATATGCCACTTAGAGTTGATTTTTGTGAAGTATTGCAAAATAAAGTTCAAACTGCACCAAATTTTTTAAGCAACATTCTGTTTACAGACGAGGCCATATTTACAAGACAAGGTATGTTCAATTCTAGAAATATGCACTTCTGGGCTGAAGAAAATCCAAGGGCTACAATGGAAACTCACTTCCAACACACGTTCAAGATAAACGTTTGGGCAGCTACTTTAGGAAATAGTTTCATAGGATACCACATCTTTCCCGGAAATTTAAATGGTAACAGATATTACAATTTTCTAGACAATATTTTAAATGATATTTTGGAAGATATTCCATTACAAATACGAAGAAAGATGTTTTTCATGCATGATGGTGCTACACCACATTACACAAGAATTTGTAGAAGGTGGTTACATGAACATTTCCCTGATAGGTGGATAGGCCGGGGTGCGGATGCACCGATTCATTGGCCTGCTCGTAGTTGTGATCTTAATCCAATGGACTTTACAGTATGGAGTTATTTGAAATCAAAAGTGTATAACACTCCAATTAATACAGTAAATGAGTTAAGAGACAAAATTGAACAAGTATTTACCGATTTACAAAACGATCCAGTAACATTAAATGGATTAATGCGTTCGCTAAATAAAAGAATTGGATTATGTATTCAACAAAATGGAGGACATTTTGAACAGTTGTTGTGAAATATTATTTTCGCCATTAATTAAATGTTAATATTAATTAAGTTTTCCATTAATTTGTAATAATATTGCTAACACAAGTGTCAATTCCAAAGCATACTTGATGAAAATTAAGAAATGTAACGATTACAATAAAATACATGTATACCTTCGAGTTTAAATAAATCGAAAACGGTGATATCTATCGAAATATTACAAGAGCACCTTTTTTGCGTAGAAAAGTCTAAGGAAACAATTTTTAAAATATTTTTTTAAAATATGTAAAAATTAAAAAACATGTGACGCAATAACCCCCACTTACCCTACAAAACTCCCCTGTATTAATATAGGATGTGGTAGGTGGTGACATGAAATTAATTATCCTAATGTCTTATAATCACTTCCAAAATATGAACTCCGTATTTAAAACCGTTTGGAAGATATTTTAAAAAATAAGAATTTCAATTCACCCCTTTAAAGGGTTGTATCTCCCTTATTATTTAGTTTTATAAAAAAGTGTACATAAAGAAGTACCCTTATTTTTGGACGTACTATGAGCTCTAGAAATTAATGTACATAATTCTGGACCACCTTGTATATATATATATATATATATATATATATATATATATATATATATATATATATATATATATATATACGAAGGAGGTAAATAATTGGGTATAAAGATGATAGATAAGTTATACTGTTTTTACTATATCCAATATATTTCGCCTATTTTCATAGACCTCATCAGCACAAGCTAAAATTATGGTCATTAGATATACCTATCTTAAATATGATGAAATTGGTTTTTTTTTAAATAACAAGTATTAATGTTTGTCAATATGTCTAATTAGAAAGAAATAATACATAATAATAAACAAAATCTAAAATTTACTTAGAGAATTTACACGTATTTAACGTTTACAATTTAAATTATTGTGTATAATGTTGAACTAAATACAACTTATTTATACTAATTATATCTTAACCGCAAATAGTGGTTGGTATAGGTATGTTCTAAGTAAACAAGGTAAACATGTAGTTTTGAGAATTGATGTAGATAGTTCTCGGATCTCGAAGTCTTTCATAAAGATATGGGCAAACTGGAAAGAGTGAAGAGTCCATTGGGAGCTATTGAGAAAAAACTGTTCTAAATTTTATAATATATAGCGATGTACAAAGGTATTAATTAGTGATGGCATTGCTGTTAAGACCTAAATTAATATGCCAATTTTGTATTGTTTTTCACTTATCCTACAATATTCTATTCTATTGGATCACGAATAAATATTTGATAACATGTGTGCTAAGCTAACATATGAGGTAAGTGTGAATTAAATACCTTTTATTTGTCTGTATATGTATATTGTTTATAGTTTATTGTATTTGTTTCTATAGGTATTTTGATTTTGAGGTTTCTTTGTTGCTCACAAAGAAAACACACTGGCGCCTTCCTTTTTGGCAAATTTTTAATGACGTGTTTTTTTTGTGTTGTTTACCAATGTATCTGGTGTAGCTCTAGTAGCTATCATCTTCCTAATTTTCCTTCTTTTCAATATTTCTTTTGTATCTGAGCTAGTAGGAATGATCCAGAATCACGTCCACATCTGTTCCGATCCTGATTAACGAAGCCTAATTTATTTTGTCTGCTTCAAACATCACCAACGTTTGTTGTGCTATAGATTCTAAGTATCAAACAACAAGGGTGAAATTAATTTGTAGGTTTTGTAGTGTTAGGAAAACTATAAGATTGGGCACTTAATATTAAAACACAACAAACTCAATGAGAGAAAAAAAGACTTAATTAGAGCACTGCTGTTCCTTAATTTATTAGGTGATTTTACTTTTACAGGTGGCTTCATTAGGCTATATTATTTCAGCTGTTGTATGGATGAGACGACACTATAGTATTGCATTCGGATATTTGCTAATTTGTGACATGAGGGCATTTACGCCCTCTTTGAGTTACGGTTAGATGTGTTTACTGCCTTCCTACATGTGGTCTGTAGTATTAAGTGAGGTACACGATTATCAAGGGCATTGATTATCAAATTTTTTAGGGATTGTGAAAAAACTTTGTTCGATATGGTGAAAGGAACAATTTGGTTCCCAACTTTTAGATGTTTAAGAATTAGACAAATTTATAGGTGGGAGCTCTTGTGAGACAATTTTGTTTACGAAGTATTTTGTCATTAGTAAAATCGATTCTGTTAATTTAGATGGCATGTTGTGCAAGGGCACAACACGCCATTCTGTAAAGGGTTTAGAACTCCTTATGTCGAATTTATGAGACGTTAGTCAATCTCGATAATCGATATGGAGAGCAGCTGGTCTGATCGATGTAGCAGAAGTTGACTTTTCACATAGTATATGATAGGCCATATTTGTTTGTTTTAAAGGGAGTTGAGTGTTGGTCTTCAAAAACAACTTTTCTACAGTTCTAGTGTTTTTTAAGGATATTTTGACAGGTAAGTTAAGTTAAAGTAGATATTGCTCAATACTGTAATATTCTTAGTATGTCCAAATAATTTTTCTGTTTAAAATTATATTTTAAATCACCCTGTATATTTTTAATGTTAATTTTATTGTGTTTTAATTGTTTCTTGGTTGTTTTTGTTTGCACTGTTTTTATATTGAATTACTAGTGACCTAGGTGCTTTTAACCAATACTGTCAGTGCTGTTTTTGGCCAAGGCAGAATATTCAATTAAATTAAAAGCTGCTAAAAGTAGTCACTTCATGAGACAGTTAAACGAATCAACAAATAAAATTAAATGTATTTGGCATTTAGTAAACTTAACAGTCGGGAAACAAAATAACTCAAAAGTACCTAGTGATGATAACAGTAATTTAGCAGACAAATTTAACCACCATTTTGTTGAAATGGCTCCAAAGTTACTTACCGCTTTGGATCCTACTAAAATAAATGGGTTTACATCAGCATCAGACGTAAATTCCAAGATATCGAAATGGAAGAAATATCTGAACATACACAAATAATTGAGATAACAACCGGAGAGTTAAGCGATGCCCTTAAAAGATCGAAAAACGGTAAAGCAGCAGGACCTGGAGACATCCCAATTGAGTTGGTAAAGTATGGACCAAAAATATTACACGAGATGATGGTTAAACTATTTAATAAATGCTTAAAAGGACAAAATATCCCTGATGATTGGAATGTTGGATACATCAGCTCAATATACAAAAAAGGGGATAAACGCAATTGCTCTAATTATAGAGGAATAACTGTTACTAGCTCAGTTGGGAGGTTGTACGGTCGAATAATAAAAAAAACGAATTGAATCAGAATATGAAGACATAGAGGAACAAAATGGATTTCGAGCAGGAAGATCGTGCATTGATAATATATTCCTTCTGCAGCAGGTAATCGAAAAACGGAAGGCAAGGAATCTATCTACCCACCTATTGTTTGTAGATTTAGAGAAGGCATATGATACGGTACCTTTGAAAAAACTATTTTATACATTGACGAAAGTAGGTCTCAGTAGAGAGTATGTGGATGCTATCGCAAATATATACAAAAATGCAAGAAGTGTCGTTAAAGAAGGAAACTTTATATCTGAATCATTTCCAATAACCAAGGGGCTTAAACAAGGATGTTGTCTGTCTCCGACCCTGTTTAAAATATATATTCAGTCATCGCTAGAGCAGTGGAGAAAACAAGTATCCGGAATGGGAATAGACATAGGCGGTGGTGAATGTCTAAGAGCTTTATTTTTCGCAGATGATCATGTAGTCGTAGCGAATGACGAGGAAGACATGGACTACATGTTTAGAAAACTAAAGAAAGAATATGAAAAATGGGGCCTCAATATGAATGTGGCAAAGACAGAGTATCTTAAAATAGGAGATGGTGAAGAAGATCCAGAGTTAGAAATTAGAAACACAAAAACATGCAATGAATATAAATATCTCGGATCTATAATATCTAAAGAAGGCACTACCAAAAGAGACATCGAAAACAGAACACAGCAGGGAAAAAAAGTGGTAAACATTCTAAACTCTCTACTTTGGTCTAAAGATATTAGACAAGAAACGAAATTGACAATCTATCGAACCTTGGTAGAGCCTATTATGACTTATGGGGCAGAGGTTTGGCAGATAACTCAGAAGGATAGAAAAAGAATAGAAGTAGTAGAAATGGATTTTCTAAGGAGAGCGTGTGGTATATCCAAAAAAGATCACATCAGGAATGAAGATATTAGAAGGAGGACAAATACTGTATATTCCAGTGTAGATAGAATTGAAACGAGACAACTAGTGTGGTATGGTCACGTGAAACGAATGAATGAAGATAGATGGTCAAAGAAAGCTTTAAATTACATACCACAACAAAGAAGAAGAAGGGGAAGGCCTTCAGTTGCCTGGGAAGAAAATGTACGGCACATAATGAGAGATATGAGCCATCAGAGAAGACGAATGGATGGACAGAAAACGATGGCGGTCGAAATGCGAGAAACGGCAGAGGCTGTAGGAACCTCGCTTATATATATATATATATATATATATATATATATATATATATATATATATATATATATATATACATGAGCATCAAAAAACCGTAATAGTTCTTCTATGTTTTTATATCCAACTAACCCACAGGAAATAACTAGTATAGTCGGAAGTTTTAAATCCAAACACAGTTGTGGTTTTGATCGGATTTCCCCTTTGACCGGAGATAAGTTATTAAAACAATGCATTCATGCTCTCGCAGATCCACTGACGGATATTTGTAATGGCTCTTTTCAACAAGGAATATTTCCTAGTATGTTTAAACTATCTATTGTAATCCCTTTATTCAAAAGTGGTGATAAATATGACCTTAACAACTATCGTCCCATAAGTCTCTTATCTGTGTTTTCAAAGATAATTGAAAGTCTAGTTTATACTAGAATGAACGGATTTCTGAAAAAGCATAGTGTCTTGCATAATTTTCAACATGGTTTTACATCTTTTAAGTCTACAACTACAGCTCTTGCAAATTTCGTCAGCTTAGTGTTGGATGCTTTGGACAGACGAGAGAAGGCATGTGGTTTATTTCTTGATTTGTCCAAGGCTTTTGACACTTTGGATCATAATTTGTTGCTAATAAAACTTGAGGGGATTGGTATTCGTGGTATAGTTCTAAAATTGTTTACTTCCTACCTAGAGAATAGAAGACAAAAAGTAAAGATAACATCTAATGGACTTGTAAACGAATCAAACACGTTGGATATCCATTATGGTATCCCTCAGGGTAGTGTATTGGGTCCTCTACTTTTTATAGTATTTATTAATGATATAACTTTGGTAACTAATTCACTGACTGAGGTTAACATTATCAGTTATGCGGATGATACCAACATTCTAGTCACAGGAACCTCTGATCAAAATTTGCAAAATAAAACTTCACAGATACTATCCACCATCAAAAGTTATTTCTTATTCAACAAATTAGTTTTGAATGAAGAGAAATCAAAGTATATGATTTTCACGTCAAATAATTTATTAAACCATCAAGCCACTATAGAAGCAGCAATAGATAAAACAGACTGCACGAAGTTGCTAGGGGGACTTCTAGACAGTAATTGTAAATGGTCAAACCACATTTCTAATTTGAAATCCAGATTAAATAGCGCATGTTATGCATTAAGAATTCTTTCACGTTTCTTTCATACATCAATATTAAAAACAGTATACTTTGCCCATTTTTACTCAATAGCCAAATATGGCATTGAAGTCTGGGGTTGTACCTTTGAATTAGAGCAGATATTCGTACTTCAGAAAAGAGCTGTTAGAAAAATGTATAAAATGAAATTTAGAGATTCTTGTAGAGGCATCTTTAGACAAAACAATATTCTAACAATTCCTGGTGTGTATATATTTTCGTGTATAATGTACTTGCATAGCAAAATTTTTGAATTTAATAAATTTCAATTTAACCATGTCTATTCAACAAGATTCAGAGACAATCACTTTATGCTTCCACAACATCGTTCTGTTTTGTTGGAAGGTAGCACACATTATGCAGCCATAAGTTTTTTTAACAAGTTACCAATAGATATACGAATGAATTTGTATCAGCCAAACTTTCGGAGGTGTGTACATCAATACATTTGTGAGCTAGAGCCATATTCTAAAAATAATTTTTAAGTATGTTTTATCGTGTTTAATTAATTTATATAATTTTAAGATTCATGTCTGCATTTTTGACTTGTCTCATACATCTACTTTGTATAATGTCGCATGTGATCAATAAATTTGACTTGACTTGACTTGACTGTTTTGAACATATTATGTACAACAACTTTTTTAAATATTTTTAACTCTAAATCTGTAAGTGATTCATTGTTTATTCTAACCTGATTTTTATATAACTTTTAACCATATTTTAGTTGTCTCTTGATGAAGCTGACAAAAAATCAGCTAAATATAAAGCATTAAAAAAAAGAGTTTTTTTTTAAATAACAGACCGCATACCCGATGCTCCAACAAAATAAATTATTTAAATTTCGGTCAATAATCTTACCAGTTTTGTTGTATATATATATATATATATATATATATATATATATATATATATATATATATATATATATATGTATATCTTACCTTAAAAAAAATTCGATAGACTGGCATGAAAATAAGTCTCTTGAATCCTTTTATTCGTCTAAATATATCAGTCTGTACTGCTCCAGGATGAAGGGAGTAAACAGTGACATTTGAATTTTTTAAAATTTCCGCCAGTTTGATTGTAAATAATATATTTGCGAGTTTAGTGTTGCCGTAACTAATATATGGACCTGGCGGTGGATCATTTATATTTGCTGGTGTTAAATTAGTATTTTTCGCCATTATAGATGATACGTTTATTACTCGGCTGGGGGCTGATTTTTTTAGTAACCCTGAAATACAAAGTAAGAGTTAAAACGATCAACATATAGGTATATATATATATATTATATATATATATATATATATAAACATATTATCGCTATATATATTAAATGTTTTTATTTGGTATTTATTTCTACGTTAGTGAATTATGTATTTGCTGCACTGCCTTACGTTTGCCCTAACTACGTTTAACATTGTTGCGCCCATTTCTTAAATACATAACGCAATCTAATAGACATTTATTATTATAAATCATCAATATGAAATATATATACATATATACATATATATATATATATATATATATATATATATATATTATATATATATATATATATATATATATAGTGAAAAGGAGATAATACTGGGAAGTACCCTTTTATAACTGAGGAAGCAAAATAAAACTAGGGTGCTTCGTTCGAAGTGTCAATGATTATTGACATCATCAGAGTAAACTACAAACAAACGAGAGAACAAACAATGAACAAGTGAACATATATATATATATATATATATATATATATATATATATATATAATGAACATATATATATATATATATATATATATATATATATATATATATTATATATATCCTCTAAAATAACAGCTGATCTGGTAGATGAAAAGTGAGTTGAGGTTAATTGGGTATACAGCTGAATAAAAGCCAAGTGCACTCTGTTCAACAGTTCATTATATTTCGCCAATTTTCATTGGCATCATCAGATGAAAGCTACAATTATTTAAAATATGGTAAAAATAAATAAAAATAAAAATAATAAAATACATTCAATAGTCTTACTTGATTGAGGTTGTGGCAATATGATTTATGTTATCATCAGAAAGGTTTGTGGTATGATGTGGATTGTAGTTTTTTTGGATATATAACATGTAGTTGTAAAAATGACAATTAAAATATTAAATGACAATATATAAATTAAAAAACAAAATAAACATAAAAACGTTTAGTTCGCAGATAGTCATTAAGGTTTAGTACTAGAAATACCAAATATCGAATGTTATTGATTGATGTGTAGCAGGAGATAATTAGTTCTATAGTGTTAATATAGTAGTTGTTTATTGATTGGGATTTACTGTAAAAGTGTGTTTTAGATAAAAAATTTAAAAAATTTTTTTTTTTTTTTTTTTTTTTGAAAATTTTGGAATTACATGTTGTGTTACAATAATTATTTAATAGTTATGTTTGTTTTTTCGATATGTAATAGATAAGCATAAATCTCACTCAAATGCTCAACATCTGATTTCTTATTTATTAAGTTATCCATTTGGGTGATAAATGCCATCTCGAGGAAGAGTCTTTTATTGAGATTATTCTCCAAAGTTGTAACAAACAATATATTGGCCAAACCAACAGACACCTAAAAAATCGTATCATTTCCCACATGAGTGACAGCAGACTATATCCCGATAGATGTTCCCTTGCAAAACACGTACATAATAAACACCATGTAATGAACTACAACGAAACAAAGATTCTTGCAATGGAGAATAATCTCAATAAAAGACTCTTCCTCGAGATGGCATTTATCACCCAAATGGATAACTTAATAAATAAGAAATCAGATGTTGAACATTTGAGTGAGATTTATGCTTATCTATTACATATCGAAAAAACAAACATAACTATTAAATAATTATTGTAACACAACATGTAATTCCAAAATTTTCAAAAAAAAAAAAAAAAAAAAAATTTTTAAATTTTTTATCTAAAACACACTTTTACAGTAAATCCCAATCAATAAACAACTACTATATTAACACTATAGAACTAATTATCTCCTGCTACACATCAATCAATAACATTCGATATTTGGTATTTCTAGTACTAAACCTTAATGACTATCTGCGAACTAAACGTTTTTATGTTTATTTTGTTTTTTAATTTATATATTGTCATTTAATATTTTAATTGTCATTTTTACAACTACATGTTATATATCCAAAAAAACTACAATCCACATCATACCACAAACCTTTCTGATGATAACATAAATCATATTGCCACAACCTCAATCAAGTAAGACTATTGAATGTATTTTATTATTTTTATTTTTATTTATTTTTACCATATTTTAAATAATTGTAGCTTTCATCTGATGATGCCAATGAAAATTGGCGAAATATAATGAACTGTTGAACAGAGTGCACTTGGCTTTTATTCAGCTGTATACCCAATTAACCTCAACTCACTTTTTATATATATATATATATATATATACCCGGTATTTAGGCGGCACACGCCCTTCCAGTAGGGATCTATGGAGGAGTATCACCAAGCCGCAAGCCATTATCTCTTGCCGTACTGCTCCACCATAGGCCGATCAGACACCAGCATATTCTAGTCTAAGCCGCAAATTCATTTAAAATTTTAAACTGCTACGTTAGCCTTTTTGTGTTATATGAACTATTTACTATGTATAATATAGTACCAAACATGTAATACATTTTGAATGTTTAGTACTTCCAACAACCACTTGATAGAAGTTGTAGTTGCAATATTTGTAATATTAACTAGTAATATAATTCCTAATGTAAGCTTAATAATTTCAGTTAATACTGTCTAAACTGCGGTAACCTAACTAGGTTATAAACTTAACGTAATTTGATTAAAAACAATGGAATACATAAATTTCCAAATTTTTCTCACTGAAATTATTTATATACATAGTTATAGCTATTTAAAGAAAAACCAATGCCAAAACAGCCAAAAAACAGAGTGGTTCAAATGGGTATTTCAGTTATTAGTATTTCCTTTATTCTAAAATAGCTTGGTGAACCAACAACATTTTTTTGGTAATTTTATTGCAATTTCCTATACTTATTCTGAAACATAAGGCAAGACATTAAAAATACTTTTATCTAATCACTATGACTATAATTTGAATGTATGTCGTATTTAGTTATTTGTTTCTTGTCGTTTAAAGTTATTTGTGTTATAATTTGAAATAATAAATTTCCGAAGTTTTAACGCAATTATATTATAAATAAGACCAACTGAATAAACAAACATGAGTACTTTTGTGTATTAATGTAACGTAGAATTGTAATTACCAACTTGTAAACGGCAAAAGTCTGTAAAAAAAGATATGAAGAGAAAAAGTTAAAAATAAGTATACATAAAGTTTTAGAATGAACCATAAAGAAATATTTTTATATTATGCATTACATCTTACATATATTCTTTTTTTTACACTATGTAGATATTTCCATTCCGTAACGGATACCTTTTTATTGTTAGGAAATAAATAACAGAGTCCTAAAGCACAACAGTATTGTCTCCTCATGAAAAGAATAAATAGTAATTCTTGCATCTCTAATGGTCGTCCATTGACCCTCAGTGGGCCACAATGTGTGAATATTCTGCAATATCAGTTTTTGTGATTAGTAAAATTTGCTGCCCTACTACAGAAAGGATTAGATATCTTATTACCATCCGAAGATCTTTAGGGCAAGCATACCACTAGGGTATATACCAAAGACTGGGACAACTCTAAGGGTGGTGGACATACACAAAATAGGACAATACAACGCCCTATCTAAATCCTGCAGACTGATCAGTCTTACATCGTTTCTGTTTAAAATATTAAAAAAATTCCTTATAGACATATTCTGGGGGTCATTATCTTCTCAATGACAACCAGCCTACATATCAAAAAAGAAAATCAAAAACAAATCAAAAAATGAACGTCGTAGTTCAGAAAGTCAGTGACTTAATAATAGAGAAATTGTTACTTCTGTAGAACAAAGAATTCATATTATATACTGCACTACCAAATTCCATTTATAATGTAGCAGTATTACAAGGAATGTAATAAAGAATGGGCTGATTCTAATAGACCTGCAAGAAGAGGAGATTTTGGTCAAATCATCTAGAGGTGCCCACAGGGGGAAAAACTTTATGCCCTTATGTGGTCATTCTGTTGATCAATGACTTGATCGTCCTCCGTGACAAACAGCGGGAAGCTGTGCAGGCCTATGCTAGTTTTCTAGTAATTATGGTAAGAAAAAAATATGGTAATGTTTTATCCAGCACTTCTAAGAACATTAAACACCCTTGCTAGTGTGCCACAAATAAAACCTCTCTGCCAATCCTAGTAAAATGGTAATAGTGTAAGTTTTACAAGGAGAGAGAACCTATATAATATTTGGATATCCGTTGTGTATGGCCAAGCTATCAAAGATACGAATGAGGTCAAAGATTTAGGACTAAAACTAGATAAGCGTTTTCCATGCAATGTCTATTTGGTAATATGCTAAGTATATCCAACTTAGCAAAGCTTTTTCTATGTACATAATAAAAGATATGTAGAAAACTATGAGGTATGAAACCCAAATAGATGTACTGGCTATGTATAGACTGGAGTTAGACTTATGATTACCTATGGCACACTACTGTAGTCTAAAGTCTAAAGGCCAACAAAAGAACACCAAGGAGAAGCTTTATAAGCTCCAGCGACAAGGATGCTCTATCCATAGATGTTATTCTTGACCTCCCTTCACTACATATATGGATCAAGAAAGAGGTAGGTATATGCAGAAAACTGATAAGGTACCAGGAAGTCAAAAGGATACTGGGATCAAAGGATAATTAAAAATCACCCAGAGTTCTGCCTAGACGTATTAAAGAGAACGAAAAAGCGCATAGCTTGATAGACTTGAAGGAAGCGTTTAATAAAGTGAGAATTCGGGACGCGATACATTTATTATATGAAAAGGGAATATCACTGGATTTAGTAAAAACCATTGAGAATATATATAAAGATAACATAGCTATGGTAAGATGTAAAGGAAAACTATTGCAACTAATCAAATATGAAACTGGCGTTAGATAAGGAGGTTCGATAAGCCCATTAATATTTAATCTGATACCGGATGAAATCATAAAGAAAGTTAAAAAAGAAGAGGACACAGAATGGAAGAAAAGGAAATAAGGATAATATGCTACGCCGACTACGCCATAAAAACAGCCGAAAATGAAGATGACCTACAAAGATTAATTAACGAATTCGAAGAAACGGCGCTTATATACAACATGGTGATCTGAACACGTCGGTCCAATTCCAAAATCGCGAATGTGCCAAATTGCCCATTTCCGCTTTACGTTATCAGCGTCTGTAATTATATTTATAGTATACGGTGACAGAAGTACGAAAGTGTTGACCTATCCTCTCTCAACTGGAACGCATTCCACGAAAGCGTCAGTTGGAGATTTTATGCCATTCCGATTTGACGAATGTATCACGTTCGTGCTTTTGACGTTGCAAGTTATTTTACTATTTAAGATAGAAATTAACGAGTGTACTGCATTCGTTGTAATGGCAGTCTGAGCTGTATGGCAGGAGAAGCAAACAGCAAATAGCTTTCAATAATAATCATTTTTTAATTACAAAAGATGAGATCAAAATTTTTGTTGGAACTCTTCTTTTTACCGGGTACCAAAAATTACCCCAATAACGCAATGAGCAGAAACAAGTTTACAAAAATTAAAAGCTATATAAATTTGGCAGACAATACTAAACTCAAAAAAATTTATTTTTTTTTGAACCTATTCTCTATCCTTCCGTTGTTGGATATAGGTCTCCCCCAGTTCTCTCCATCTTTCCCTATCTTGAGCTGTTCTCTTCCATATGAGACCTCCTTGTTTCCTGATGTCATCTTTCCACCTCATCTGTGGTCTGCCTCTTGATCTCTTGATCAGGAGGCAGATTAAGAGATCAAGAAAAAAATTATAAAATGTGTTATATTTAAACTTCGACCACTTATGGATTTACGGAATGCTAAGTTTCCACAATGGTGAATTGTTCATGAAAATTTATTTATCGATAAGGCAATGATCAAATACTTTGGCCACTATTCGGCGAAGCAATTCATTAAATCAAAGAACGTATGTTTTGGCTACAACGATTGGATGTTGTGCAGTTCTACTGGCTACTGTTATGCTTTTGATACATACTAGGAACTGACACTAGGATTACAAGTGGTTTTAGACTTCCTGAGTAATATTATAGTTCAAACTGATCACATAATATTTTTCGATAACTATTTTGCGAGTTATGAACTTTAAGTGACATTAAAACAAAAAATACCAGAGTTACGGGCACAGTTTATCTCTTATACAATGAAAAAAGATGAAAAAAAAAATATCGTGGATATTATGATCTTTGCTACGATAAAGAAAGTGTTATATTATTTGTAAGATGGAACGACAACAGTGCTGTAACCATGGATACCAATTACGATACCATAGAGTCCCTTGCACAAGTGAAGCGTTGGTATGCAAAACAAAAAGAAAACGTAACAGTATCACAACTTACTCGATTAAGGGGTAAATAATTACAGAATTGTCATACATGGAAAAATGGTGGTGGGTACTCTTTACCCATGTGATAAATGTGACAGTTGTCAATGCGTGAAAACTATATAGGATTACAAATGAAAATGACAAAATAAATTTGCTACTATTTTAAAGAAATAATGTCCGCCATTACTGCAGAGTATTAAACAAAGCCATACAAAGACGATCAACATCTATCAAACCATCTGGTTCGCTGCCAAAGAGTATACTGGATACCATTTTCCTAAAAGAACAACAAACCCTCGAAGATGTCGTCAATGCTACATGAGAGTTAGATGGATGTGTGAAAAATGCAATGTAAGGCAGGAATCACACTGCTCGACCAGACCGACCGTCCACGATCGACCAAAATTACAAGTCTATGAAAATGTATGCGTTGACTCAGACTGATGGACCGTCCATCACTTACAGCGACCGACCGCGATCGTCCAGTTTTGAAATTCGGACTTGTTGGAATTTTTGGTCGTTTGGTCGATGAATATGGAACATTTCGCATTCATTTGTGCTGTTTTGAGCTAAGACATTGACCATTGACATTTAAAAATTTGTAATTAACCTATAAAATTGGATTTGTTTTTGTTTCTTTGGATTATGTAGTTTGTATATCCAATACAAAAATTAAGGTTCTATTAATTTTTTGGAAATGCTAAGGAATACTCTGGAATACTAAGTTTTTGGAAACAGGACTTGTTCATGCGATAATAATTTTGAAATTTTATAAAATCATTTAATAGAATGGGGTATAACACAAATAATTCTCCTTGTTGGTGTCTTTTTAAAAAATGTCTTAAAAAAACAAACTGTCCTACGCCTATAAAGATATCAAATAAGTGATAAATAATTTATCAGTAGAATTATTGCTGCTAATTCTATCCATAATTCAATTTTTTACAAAGAACCCAATAAAATGAAATAACAAAAATGTGGTTATGTTGCTACACACTCCTGACGTCTTGATGGTCGGTCGATCGATCGTGGACGAGTAATGTGAGTTTAAAAATAAAAATACAAAAGTTGGTTGTTCGCCGTCGGACGGTCGGTCGTGGTCGATCGAGTAATCTGATTCCTGCCTAACTCTTTGCACTGAGCAGAGAGAATATTTTAAAATATTTCACTCATAATTAATAATGTGTTTTTTATGTATATGTATGTATTTTTAATAAATGTTTCCTTGGCCTGTGTGCATTTTTCTGTTCAATATTTCTACGGGTTATGTATAACTATATTTTAAATATTTTATACTGATTGTCCCAGTGTACCTGCTTGGGTACACCATTTTTTTTTCAAAACCAAATTTAAAATATGTACAAAATAATTTTTTATATAATTATGATCATAATTAAAAGCAACTCCTAAAAAATTTAGGTATTTTTATTTACTCTTTTGGCGGTGGGCATTATTGGGTTAAAGTAAAATAATCGAAAATACCGGAAAAATGTGTTCCCTTTAAATCAAAAATTGACCTGCCATTAAGTGTTTTATAAATCTTGTCGTAATTCCTTTTCGTCCGGCCACCCTCTATATTTAGGTACACTATGAAATTTATGTTATTATTTGTCATATTTATCCTTTAAAATTAGATTAATTTTTTACAGACTTTATATACGGCTCATTTATCTACTTTGTATGAAATTGTAATCTAGTATTAAAATTTTATTTCTGTATCCAGCTATTAAACGTCCATTACAATTATGTGTATATTTTTAATTTGATTCAAGAGTACTTACCTGTTAACAAAATTGTAAGCAAAACTGGAGCAAAATAGTTTATTTGCATTAATAGCTCTAAACCATCTTCAGTATATTTATGGTTGAGACCACCACTACCGGCGTTGTTAACTAAAATATCTAATCTTTCTTCATTTTGATTAATATCTTTTGCAAAATCTCTAACAGATTGTAATGAACCTAGATTAAGTGACTTGACAACAACATTCTTATTTTCAGTTTTAGATATAATGCGATCCTTAGCTTCTTCGGCTTTTTCAAGGTCCCTACATGCTAAAATGACTTTAGCTCCTCTAGTAGCAAAGTTAAGTGCAGTTTCAAATCCAATTCCTTAAAAATATTTAAATTGTTATAATATACATATATAAATATATATAAATATATATAAATATATATATATATATATATATATATATATATATATATATATATATATATATATATATATATATATATATATATATATATAAGAGTAAGAAAAAAGAAGTACTTGTGACTCGTTTGGAAAAAATATAACACTGTTTTTGATGGGTTGGAGTCAATAAAAGGGGCTATTTGTTGACTATTTTTTACTCGAGCTTTCAATTGTGATTACAATTTTTATCAAGAGCTTCTAAAAAATACAAAATGTCTTACAAAGTTGAACTAGAAATAAAAAAATTTTTTGTTAACTCACCAAATAAAATTAGTTTTTTATATAAAACTACTGCTTACATAATAAATACAAAAAATATTAATAAAAAAATGTCTTATTCTAACAAATGTTTCTCTGAAAAATTTAGATGAATTTTCTTAAGAAAAAATTGAAAATATAAACAAATATAGAATAGCTACAACCAGCCTAAAACGTCATAAATATTAACTTAAAAATTTTTATTTTTGACATATTGTCAAAAATAAAATTTTGTTTAAAAAATTCTTCTTTGTTTAGTAACAAAAAAGAAGAAAATTTATTCACCATTGATAGATGCCCGAAAAATGTAACAAATACATGGAAAATTCAAAATGTGATATTTTACTGACTGCATAAATTAAATAGAAATTATATAATTATAAATTTTGCTTAAATTTTGAATTTCTGACCTTTTGTTTAAATTATTATCACTTTTGCTAATACAAACCATTTCCAAAAAAGTTCTTTTAAATTTATTACTTTCATTACATAAAATTTTAATATTATCAAAATCCATATTATGGATTTTGATAATATTAAAATTTTATGTAATGAAAGTAATAAATTTAAAAGAACTTTTTTGGAAATGGTTTGTATTAGCAAAAGTGATAATAATTTAAACAAAAGGTCAGAAATTCAAAATTTAAGCAAAATTTATAATTATATAATTTCTATTTAATTTATGCAGTCAGTAAAATATCACATTTTGAATTTTCCATGTATTTGTTACATTTTTCCGGGCATCTATCAATGGTGAATAAATTTTCTTCTTTTTTGTTACTAAACAAAGAAGAATTTTTTAAACAAAATTTTATTTTTGACAATATGTCAAAAATAAAAATTTTTAAGTTAATATTTATGACGTTTTAGGCTGGTTGTAGCTATTCTATATTTGTTTATATTTTCAATTTTTTCTTAAGAAAATTCATCTAAATTTTTCAGATAAACATTTGTTAGAATAAGACATTTTTTTATTAATATTTTTTGTATTTATTATGTAAGCAGTAGTTTTATATAAAAAACTAATTTTATTTGGTGAGTTAACAAAAAATTTTTTTATTTCTAGTTCAACTTTGTAAGACATTTTGTATTTTTTAGAAGCTCTTGATAAAAATTGTAATCACAATTGAAAGCTCGAGTAAAAAATAGTCAACAAATAGCCCCTTTTATTGACTCCAACCCATCAAAAACAGTGTTATATATATATATATATATAAATACATATATTATATATATATATATATATATATATATATATACATATATACTTTTATATATATATATATATATATATATATATATATATATATATATATATATATACTAAAACCTACAGATTATTACTATTACAAGAATTAATATTAAATTCAACATCCGGGCTGAATCGCGTCAATTATCATTGTCGCCTCGACGTCCACTTTGATCTCTTTAGGGCTTCAGCGTGGGGGTTCGCGTTTGGATTGGCGCGAACATTTCTGACAGTAGGATTTTGATTGGAGGGTGGAGCAAACGATATTTTCCTTATGAGAATACTCCATGTCCAAGGTAACCGTATGCCGTTATCTCATACGGATATGACAGATGGCCAGATATTGAAAATATTAATATTAATGACATCTAAATTTCGTTTTTTGAATGAATAGCTTTGAAGAAAACTAAGTAAGCTAAGAATTTGGGAAATAGAAGAAGAAGAAGTATGGTGTTTAAATTTGGAAACTCGTAGCAGAATTCTTACGTAGCAGAAGATTGCTATGTGATTTAGTGAGCTGGTAAAATTCCTCTTCATAGAGGCGAATATAATGTTTACAAAGATTTCCACACTTAGTACAATTAAATCATTGTCAATCAAGCTTTAGTAAAAGGCTTCAATTGCTCTGTTACTCCAAGTCACATTCCAATTGAGACAATCATCTGTCAACCTGAAAAAGCTATTTAAACTTTACCTTCCAAAGATGCTAAAATAACTAGACAAGACATCGCTAAAATTTTTAGAATCTCAAAGTCATCTACTCCGATTATTAGCCAATCCAAAAAAAAGCCCTAAAATAACTTAAGTTAAATGCAAATTTAGTTACTCTTTCCGACAATCAAAGAAATGACAACGTTATCCAAAACACTTCTTCTTACATTAAAAACAACTCTTAAATCTCATAAATACTCGAGACTACAGACCAATTCTAATTAATTTAATAATCTACCTAAAGAAAACTGCAAAAGCCATTATTCATAAAACTTCTCTTGCTGTTGACATACCACAATTTCTAATTCCTCGTAAAAAGTCTTCCAGAACACCCCCCATATATGGCCTATACAAAATTCATAAACCTGATATTCCTTTACGTTCCATTGTCAGTGCGTACAACTACCCTACACAACCATTGGCTAAGTACTTGGCCAAAACTCTACAATCTCTTCCCGAAAAGGCTTCATCTTTTGTCAAAAATTCTTTTCATTTTATCGAACTTCTTAAATAATACCATATTTCAGCATTAGAGATTCGAGTTTTGTTATCCTTTTTTTTTAATCATTTTTAAAAATTCTAAAAACTGAATACAGTAGGCACACAAGACCAGTTATATCTCATTAAACATTGTATGTCCAACACTTATTTCATTTTCCAAAATCAATTTTACAGACGAATAAATGGTGTCTTAATGTGTTTCCCACTAACTCCAGTAATTGCCAATATCTTTATGGAAGACTTCGAAACCCAAGCACTATCCACATAATGCTCAAACTTACATGTTGGGTACAATATCCACAAGGATTCTTTGATGTCCTTTTAAACCCATCTGAATGGTATACATGCTAGTATCCAGCTTATGATGAAGGTAAAAAACTGATTCCTCCCTAATGTTTCTCGACGTTATCATAAAAAAAACCAATCCCAAAGTTTTGATCACTCTGTTTTTCGAAAACCCAACCATACCAATCGTTACTTGCATGCCAACTCTTATCATCCACCTTTAAAAATTAATTCAGCCATTGATGCTCTTGTATCCAAATCAATATGCCTTAACAATGATGCAAGTAGGCCCGCTGAGCTCTATTGTTCTGTACGAAAATCACATCAATAGCATCCACACAGATCTTCTTGTACTCAATCTCAACCCAATAGACCCTCATTCTATGAAAGCTTTTTTCCGTTACATCAAAAGTGTTACTGACAAAATCGACAAAATACTTAAATCAAGGGGAATAAAGAACAATATTTACTCTCTTGTCCAATCAATCAAAGACAAAATTCCAAATAAACATGAAATTCTTTGTGCAGGCTGCCCCCGATCTTATATAGGTCAAACAAACTCTTGATTGTTTAATTTTAAATGAGACATTTCTATCGCTTTGTAAAAGTGCCAATAATCACAAATAAAAACAATTATGACACTAGCTGGCATAATATTTTATTTTTCCTCTTTCAAGTATTTTAACTTTAGCTCTAGGGAACTCTAATACTATTTGAAAGACAACTAATTTCTTTTCTTACTAAAATTATTAAATACAGGGTGTTTCGTTTAAAATTATTGACTTACTATGGTTTGAAATTTAAAGAAATGGCGTATCATTTGTGAACACCTGATATTATTTAGAAATTCGATTTCAATGTAAATTTCTAAACGAATGTTACCTATTCTTTGTGTGCATATATTTTTTAAGACATTATGTTTGTAAATGGATATGCTATTAACTTCTTTGTCTCTCTCTGTAAATTTTTTTAATAAAAGATGAATATCTCAAAAAATATGAAGTTTTAACCTTGTTTTAAATGATATTTTACACAAATTTTGTCTAAAATTTTACGAAAAATATAGAAATGCAATACTATACAGGATTATTAAGAACATTTATCATTTAAAATATTAAGTTTTTGTTCACTTCCAGTATAACCGTAAGTGGCATATCTGTCAAAATAATTTCTCTTAATTTTTCATAACTTGTAATATCTATAAACCAATATTGTGTAAGAAGATTCCGATATACAGATAGTGTAAGCTAGTGGTAGTGGGTAGATACTTTTGTACAATCCCGGTATGAGATAGATCTACTTCAGATATGCAACCCTGTCCACGCGAGCCATGGCTATCCCCAACCCGTGCCCACTCCAAGATACCTACCAAAACAAATAAATTCTCACATATCCATTCCCAAGAAGTAAACCTCACACTAAAGAAAAATCATTGGGCAACGGGAAACCACCCCAATTAACTTTCCCTAGTATAATCGATCAAGTCAATTTAGAAACGGCCCTTAGTCCCGAGCACTCCTAAGTGGAGAGATAGTGCTAAGAATCCTCCGGTTGCCACAAATATTTAGATTTAAGCATGATAAGAAGATTGCTAGATGAAATGTACGAAGTTTATTCCAGGCTGGAAAAGGAAATAACGTCATTAAAGAAATGCGAAAACTCAACATTTGACATATTTGGATGCAGTGAAGTTAGATGGCTCAATTTAGGCCAGTGCGAAGTAGAAAAACCACACAATATCTACTGTTGAGACACTAAAACAAGAAACAAAAACCGAGAGGCTATAATAGTAAATAAAGAAGTTAACAAATGTGTACTTAGTTTTATAGGAATATCAGATTGAGTTGCAGTACTTAAAATTAATGCTAAATCAATTAACACGAACAATATTCTATAGTGTATTGTTATGTATGAGAGAGTAATAAAACAATAAATTATGTATGCAAATCCCTAAACTGTTGATACGGGTGACTCAATGAAAAACAGATATTTGTCAACAAGTTTACAGAAGTATATAGGAAAACAATTTTAAATTGAGTATGACCACCAGGTATAAAGGTTGGAGCAGAATAAAATACAATAGTTGTGAGGGTTACTAATCCCTAAATAAGGTTGCCAGTGTCGGAGTGATGGAGGTTAACAGGTACTAATGAATTTGCAAGAAATGTAAGATGTTTATTTTATTGGTTATATATAACCAATAAAAGTTTGATAAGTACCTACCTATTTGCAAAATAAAGTTTAATTCTTTAGATAAAATAAAACGTTTTATTTTATCTAAAATGAGTGCATTCCACGAAGTAAGGGGTTTCAACAATCAAACATTTAATTCTTTAATTCCAGGAATCTACGACAGTAATTGACTAGATAATTACCTTCTAAACTTATTCCACAGAAAATTTGATAGTGGGTTTTTCCATTTTGTAGGAAGGTACAAGTGGCGTATTCAAAATTCTCAACAGTTCACTAAAAGTAGGTACTTCAGTTGCAAGGTGCAGTTTATTGTGTATACTAGTGTTATGGAAAATTTTGAAGTGCCGTGTAAACGCCGAAAATTTGGTCCTTTAATAGTTAATGAAAAAACATTAATATTTAATTGTTTTAAATCATTTACAGACAAACGTTTATGTGAAAGTGTTGATGAGACCGTTGAGTTAGTTAGCAGTACACTTGGTGTTAGGAAATCTACGATTTACAGAGTTATTAAAGAAGAGAAATGTGGTAGTTTTCAAATGCCACGTAATGCTCCAGGGAAACCAAAATTTCAAATAGAATATCATTTTAAAGAAGGACTTCGACGGAAAGTGCATGAATTCTTCTTTAGACAAGAATTTCCAAAATTGGATAAAGTTCTTGTCTCAGTTCGAGATGATAAGGATTACCCAGAAATGAGTCGAAGTACGTTATGGAAACTTTTAAAAGAAATAGGCTTCCGCTGGAAAAAGAATCCCAGAAAGTCTATTTTATTAGAAAGAAGCGATATTGTCATATGGAGAAGACATTTTCTAAGAACCATAAAGGAAATGAGAAACCAAAAAAGAAAAATATTTTATCTTGATGAAACATGGATCAACGAGGGCCATACACCAAATAAATTTTGGCAGGATGAAACTGTTACAAGTCAAAGGCACGCTTTTGTAAATAGCTTATCTACTGGTTTAAACCCACCATCAGGAAAGGGACGCAGGCTGATAATAGTACACATTGGCAGTTCAGACGGTTTTGTTGAAGGTGGTTTATTAACTTTTGAATTAACTCGTACCGGTGACTACCATGAAGACATGAACGCTGATTTCTTTCAAGAATGGTTCGAACAAATGATAGATCTTCTTCCTAAGAACTGTGTAATAGTAATGGATAATGCAAGTTATCACTCCAGACTTATAGAAGGACTGCCCACAACCAGGTGGTTAAAAAAAGAGTTGCAGAATTGGCTGAGTTCAAAAAATATTACGTACCATCCCGGATCTATAAGAAAGGAACTTTATTCGTTGTGTGCCCTTCATAAAGAAAAATTTAAAAAATACGAAATTGATGAAATTGCCGAAAATCGTGGAATGACAGTACTTAGATCCCCACCATATCATTGTGAATTAAACCCGATTGAACTGGTATGGGCACAGATAAAGAGTAAAGTTTCAAGAAAAAATACCACTTTTAAAATTCATGATGTTAAACAGTGGTTTTTGGAGGCCGTAAATAATGTAAAACCTGAAAACTGGGAAAAAGCAGTAAATCACACTATTAAAGAAGAGGAAAAAATGTGAAAGCTGGACAATATTACTGATAAAATGATCGAGCCAGTTATTATAAATCTTGGTTCTGAAAGTTCATCTTCTAAATCTGATTTGGATTTGTAACAAGTAGCTGTAAGTTTTATATTAATATTTTGATACATCTATTTAACATACCTTAGACGGTTTTAAAAACTCTTTTTCTCTTTTGTAATTTTTAAAAATTAAAAAAAATGTGAATTTTTTAAAACCCTTATTAATGTAGGCCAGTCAGTTCTAATATAGTGTGTGATAAAAGAGGTCACTTTTGTTTACATACACATAACACTTTATAACACTGAAATTATTCATTTATTTTTTACAATTATTCAAAGTAATTTTTCAATTAATCTTGAGCACGCCCATGGAGTGGTCGAAGGTAAGAGTAAAAATTATGCTAATTACTCTCTCGTTAATAAAAATAAACTATAGCATGCTCCAACCAAGAACGCTCAGTGAAGTAACATATGCAATAAAAAGACTAAAAACCAACAAAGCACCTGGACCTGATAACATACAAGGTAACTAAAATATTGAAACTTTTTGAAAACAACCAACTCAAACTCTTAACGAGTTTACTAAACAAAATCTATGAAACTGCAGAATTTCCTACAGATTGGTTAGTTTTCACTTTCGTCCATCTCCCCAAAAAGGCAAATGTCACTAGATGCTCTGATTACAGAATTACAAGCCATGCACTCAATTTTTTTTTATTCGCTCTCGCACATATGTAAAACTAGAAGAAAACATTAGGAGTGTTCAGTTTAGGTTAAGAAACGGACTAGGAACGCAAGAGGCCCTATTTTGCATACAAGTAATTATACAAAGAGCTCAAGACGTAAATTGTTAAGCCTACGCATGTTTTATAGACTTTTAAAAAGCATTTAACAGGGTGCAACATCAAAAATTATTTCAGATACTAAAAGAATCTAGTATTGATGATAAAAATTTACGCAAAGTAAATTTTAATAAAAATTAATACTTACAGCAAAGAGCAACTGTACGAGTAGACAATGACACCTCACAAGAATTCACGATAAAATGGAGAGTACGTCAGGGCTGCATTTTGTCACTGACGTTGTTCAATACTTACTCGGAAATGCTGTTCAGGGATGCAATTAATGGTTTAAGAGAAGGTAGAAAAATTAATGATAAAATCATTAACAATTTAAGATATGCGGACGATACAGTTTTGATTTCTGATAATGCGGAGGATCTGCAAACATTAATAGACCGCGTAGTGGAAGCCTGTGACAGATACGGTATGAATTTAAACTGTAAGAAGACCAAAATTCTTGTAGTAAGTAAAAACGATGTAATACAGCACCAATTCACAGCTAATAATGAACCCTTGAAAATCGTCGACAAAATTACATATCTTGGATGCAGCCTAAATATGGAATGGAACCACTTACAGGAAATAAGATAGAAATTCATCCTCTCATCGTATAGAAAAGGTGAGAGCTGTCTGCAATCGCCTTAGGAAGATTTTAATATATTCGCCGTAATATGTACCTGAACATTGATTTAAGAACACGAGTCTTGATATGCTATGTATTTTATACCCTATTATATGGAGTCGAAGCCTGGACCTTGACAGTGGCAATATTCAAACGATTAAAAGCCTTCGAAATGTGGTGCTACCGCCGCATGCTCAGAATTTCTCATATCCATCATGTTACAAACAACACCGTGATTCAACGTACGAATAATGATCTGGAAATTATGGATATCGTGAAAATCAGAAAGATGACATATTTAGGGCATGTGATGCGCAATGAGAAGTATCAACTAATTTAACTATTTTTACAAGGCAAGATAAAAAACAAAAGATCTCAACGGCTCAGGACATTGTGGTTGAAGAACGTCAGACAGTGGGCAGGAATGACTACCATACATCTATTTTGAGCAGCTATCAACAAAATTGTATGAACCAACGTGATCGCCAACATCCATAGAGGATAGGCACCAAAAGAAGAAGAAGTAAGCTAGTCGTAAAATACCCTGTACAAAGAGTCAAAACTTAAGTTCAGGATTGAAAATATGATTTACGAGTTATCACATTATACTTTTTGGATTTATTATGAAGTCAAATGATTAAATTTGAAGAAATTGTGTTAAAATGAAAGAATGGCTTTTATACTGTGGATATAATAACAGGATTTTAATTACGATACGATTTGCAAAGTTTTTGTCTGCGTGAGTTTAGTATTTTTAAATTCATTTGTAAAAACCACAAATTGTAGAATAAAATTTTAATTATGAAGTTTTGACTTCCAATTTGATAACTTTTACAAAATGTATTGTTTAAATCACCCTATTAAATTATGCTACTTAATATTATAATACTGATTAATAGAAGTGCAAGTTACCTGTATTGGCACCAGTTACTATTGTAACTTTTCCAACTAGAGAAACTTTACTAGAACATGACTTTGCTTTTAATATATTATAGATCTTTATTATACCCAAAATGACTAAAACCGATATTAAAATAGTAAGTGCAATTGCCATATTCAGTCGTTTTTAAACTAAACCACAAATAAACACACAATGAAGTAATTGTAATTCAAGACACTGACATAAAAGTGACTGTTAATGAACAATACTATTGATAACAATTTAAATGTTCCGATATCGTAAAATATGCTTACAACCTTTGTCCTTGTTGAAAGAATTATATACGAATTTTATCGGATACATCATTAATGTAAACATTTTGATAAAAATCATATCATTCTAGACATAATATAATAATATCAAGTCCAATAAAATAAAAGATAACTTTAAACCTTTAGTTCATAACCTGAATATAGCCCAGGGAAGTAAGATTTTTTTTCGTGACACTGACATCTTCAGGCAAACGACAGTTGTTGTTTTGAATAGTATGGACCTCTATAACAAGAACCTATACGTTTCTAGTAGTCGAATTTTTTGACTTAATTATTTATTACCAAATTAAGGTTAAAAATAATAAATTTTCGTTTTTTTGTCTATCAGCAAAAAGTAAAGCATTTGAAACAAATTTAAGGCTAAGAGACTAATAGATCATATAAAAAACTTTACAATTGCGTTTTTTTAATATTTTTATCCATATTTGTTGGTTAGAAATTTGCAATAAGTTATAAACGTAGGTTTTTTTAATAGACATAACGTTTATATTACATATAATGTTGGGTCTCGTGGTGATTAAAGCATGATCAGAATTTCTAATCTATCAGTCAAATAGTTTAAAAGTATAAAAAATACGTGACATATGCAGAGCCTCTACATATGTTGCTCTGATGATACCTAATATGGTTAAAATACGTATAAGCGGATGGCAGATGCCCTGCATTGAAATAAAATCTAAGACCGTCTTTCTGTTTCAGTTTAATATATATATATATATATATATATATATATATATATATATAAATATATATATATATATATATATATACCGGTATTTAGGCGGCACGCCTTTCCGGTAGGGATCTATGGAGGAGTATCACCGAGCCGCAAGCCCTTATCTCTTGCCGTACTGCTCTACCATATAGTCCGATCAGACACCAGCATATTTTAGTCTAAGACGCAGATTCTAGTGGTGGGTAGTTCCGGAACGAACTAGTTCCTGGAACTAGTTAATTTTTTATTATAAATGAAATAGTTCCGAAAATTAAATGGTACTAGTTCCGAGGAACTATTAACGTCACTCCTGATCTTCTATTTGATACCGTCATTTGTGAGCAAACTGCATATCTAAGTATTTCTTCGATCGACGAAAACGAAAAAGGAACTAGTTCCGAGCCGGAGCCGATTAGTGGATGAACTAACATAGTTCCGAGGAACGAGGAACTGTATGATAATCGTGATCGGTCCGGTATGCGATGCTTGATCGTTGGCTGTAACTTCAGCTTGTAGGTACGTACATACGTATAGGTATACATTATACTGTGCTTAGATTAATTTATTATAATTGTGTATAGTAGCCGTGTTATATTTATGTTATAGTTATTGTTAAATTATTTACGGGTCATGATATTTTTAGAGTTTAGTTTAATTGTGATTTAATTATTGAATTTTAAGAAATTTTTACGCTTACAGTTTCAAAAATAAATATTTTTAAAAATCATATGATACACATGAGTATGATCCTGTTTGGCTTTCGCGTGCTTGTATTGACAATTGGGAATATGTAAAATGAATGTAGTTCTTACACCCAACGATATAATTATATTTTACGACTTCCTGTCTTCTATGTCGAAAAAAATTGTTATGTAAGTAAAGTATATAAATATATACAACGTGTTTAACATCGCACAGATTTTGTTTATAAATAAATCTTTGAAGAACAAATTCTTAGAGAAAATAAATAAATAACAAATCAACAATCATAGAAAAATAATAGCATTTTGATTTAAAATTCAGCAAAATATGTTTGGATAAAGTAAAAAATCACTTCGTTATTTTCGTGAAATAATTATTTAAACCAATGCCTTCGAATTTAGTTTCCCATCGTTTACCATATTTTACTTTTATTTTATTTGTGATGTCGAATATCGAACCTAAACACTCGATCCGATTTATATCAAGATTGATCACACCGATCTGATCGCAAAGTTAGTCATAATTCCAAAGAACTAGTTCCAGGAACTAGTTCAGGAACTAGAAGAAGGTTGGAGTTACAGACATTTAGGGGAACGGTTCTGCGTATATCATACATCACGAGTAGTCTCACGAATGATGGAACGGTACAGAGAGACCGGTAGTCACTCTAGGTGTTTAGGACAAGGTCGACATCGTGCATCAGCGGCCGTTTTTTACTACTTCGCACCCTAAGACAACGATTTGTAACCACCAGAAGCTTACAGTCCCAACTTAAAAATGTTAATAATGTTCAAATCAGCTGTGAAACTGTTCGCCAATGTCTCAAGGAAGGTAACTTGGTAAATCGTATACCTGTCAAAGGGCCAGCCTTGACCGTAGCTCATCACAGAGCGCGTTTAGAGTTTGCACGAAATCATATCCATTCGTTGGAGGCTAATTGAAAGCCACCCGCCTAGCATATTTAGCAAGAGATAAAACCTAGTTTATTTAATTTTATTTGTTTCCAAAGTAATTTATAAACCAATATTTATTATAAACCAATATTATGTTTAAAAATAATTAAATAGGAACATTCGTTTTGTTTTTTCTATAAAATTTATTATAAATAAATTACTTACAAAGTTTAGCAAAGAAGTAAATATTCATCATGAGTATATATACTTCATCTAATTTACATGACGTTGCACGTCATCCGTGTCATAGTCGTGAGGTCACATGATACCAACACGAAATATTTAGGCGGTAGGTGTGTAGACATATTTTATTATATACGCGTAGAAATAATATTTAAAGATTTTTATTAATGTTAAAGAAATACACAATAATATGTTTTATTCAATTTGTAGAAATGCATTATAAAGCGTTTTTAAGAAGAACATTTTTTCAGAACACACTGTAACTGTAATCGGACGAAGGTGAAATTCTGACATAAATTGGTAACACTTATTTGACAGTGGTAACACTTATTTGACAGTTGCGGTGTTGACACTTTTTGTACTTTATTATTTTGAATTTTAAAGTGAATACCTCTAGTTTTATATTTTTACCCATTTAATAAAATCTGTTCTTTTTAAAACACAATTAGTGTGTTTTATTTCAAAAATATCACGTAAGAATTTAAATAGTCGTTGTAAAGAGACGGTAATACTTTTGCAATAATGTTGTGATTTAAAATGGAGTCAGGATTTTTTTATACTTTGGCAACTATGTCAACTTTGATCTCTGTTAATGATAGTTACGTACAACGGTAAGTAAATTAGATGAAGTATATGATTTACAATAAAAATGATCTGAAATATTAATAAAAAAAACTGAAAATTTTTTTTTAATTAGATGGTTTATTTAACAATTTAACTATTTAAATAATATATATTCGTAATGTACGCAAAAAGTCCATTTAAATTAAAAAAAGAAACGTCAAAATCCATAAACTAAAAGAATATATACAGTTAACAGCTCCTTCCACCTCCACCGCGAGTTTCATGGCCGACCGACTTTGAGGACCATATTTTTGAAGCTTTGTGGAAGATTTTATTAAAATGCAATCTCTTACGAATTTTGTACAATAAAATTTTAGAGTATGTTCTTTTAGGCGACTCTAGTAAGATCTCATAGTTGTTTTAATCAACGCAATATAAATTTTTAAAAAAAGGGACTAACTTCCCAAATTGTTCTAGGTCTTTTTATTTTAATTTATAAAAAAGTAAAGGTTTTATAGATTTAAAAAAATATTTTTTTCACGCACTGGTTAAAAAGTTATTCTTATTGTTAATAAGCAAAAAAATATTTTTGCAAAATTATTTTTTAATATTTAACATCCATTTTCTTTATTTTTTTATCACATTTAATAAGAATAATCTTTCTTCTTTTATAAATTATCCGTAGAATTGGTGCAACTTAATCATGTTCGGACTATTATTGCAAAAAAATTTAATTTTACATAAACAAATACAATTACTTTTTAACAATTTGGCCAATCGCTTAAAAATTTTAACTATATTTTAATTAATACAAGATTCAACATTTCGTGTAATATGACGATTTTAAGTTTATATTTAAAAAAGTTTTTTTATAAAAAATATTGTTTATTTTATAAAAACCGAAATTTCTTACTTATTTTGCACCTTTCTAAGCAACAAATAAGGATAAATACATTTGCAAAATGCCGTTTGAAGGGTTTTTATATGACTTATAAGCTTACATACTTAAATTTGGTTCAAATGCTTCATTTATTGCTGATAAATGGAAAAAGTGAAAATTTACTGTCTTTGATCTAAATTTGTTGATTGTTATATTTAATTCCAAATATAGACTACAGAATTTGTATACAGACATATAGAATACAGACTACTAAATTTGTTTCAAATGCTTCATTTATTGCTGATAAATGGAAAAAGTGAAAATTTACTGTCTTTGATCTAAATTTGTTGATTGTTATATTTATGTCCAAATATAGACTACAGAAAACATATAATAGATTATTCAAGAGGTTCATACTACTAAAAAAAACTAACTGCCCGGTTTAGTGTTACAAACAAGGTAAATTTTTTCTTATTTCCCTGGCCTAATAGTATATACTACAGAAATCCAAAAATTCAGTATAAATTATTGTATTTTGAAAATATTGCGAACTAAAACAACTTATAGGGTTAAATCAATTAATAATGTATTAATGAATCTCAGTAATTAACTTCTCCTGATGTGATTCCAAACTTTTAAGAGGATATTGTAAATTAAGAAGTCTCTAATGCATCATTTCCTACACATATTCAATTATTGGAATAAATCAGACGATCTCGGGAGGGGAACCAGGGCCAATGGTTGACAAAGAATTCAAAGAATTTTATGGTGACTGTCACAATGTATGGCTTTGCATTATCCTGCTGAAAAACTGGATGTTAAAGTGTCTGAAGGTACTGTACGATATAAGATTTCAACAAGTTTCTTTTGACGAAGATTAATGACGACTTTGAAACA